TCTTATGCATAGTGTTGTAAATTGTCTAAATTATTGATAGACTTAAGGCTTTGACATGGATCCCCGATGGTGCTGTGGTTAAGTGCTCAGCTCCTAGCCAAAGGGTGGCATTCCACACACACCCCCAAAGCCGTGCAGGAAAGGCCTGGTGACCTGCACCATAAAGATCACGGCTTGTGGGGACATTCTGTCTGGTCACATAGCATCATTGTGACTGAAAACAGACTCCGACGCACTTAACAGCATGCTCTGTGTCAGCTCACCCAGGAAGTGTTTACTGTGCCAGCCCTGAGCTCCAGTGTAGGGAGAACCGTCTCCACTTCCAAATCAGAAATGCCACCTTATTTGGTGAGTTGTAATCTAGCGACACTTCATAATTTCTGCTGGATTATTTTATAAATAGGATGTGATTAACTCCCTTAAAGCTATTTTTGTTAGCTGGTATCAAAGATTTGGAAGTTTGTAATTCCCACTCAGGTAACGGTGATTCTGTCTCCATTCTGTTTGTTGGTACATCTACTTTTGGCAAATGTGGAGTCCGATGCTCTTTACCGAGCAACTGTTACCTGTCAGTCCGAGGCATGAGTGAGCAGAGGGCAGTGTAGTCTGTATCTTGTGTACTGACTTGCAATGACAGTTAATTTTTATATTGACTTCAGACTGTCAGAAATGGTAAAGTACAGAGAGAAGGCTGATTTAGTTATTATCTTAAAAGAAGTATATTAAGAGGATGTGGTCCAATAGTTCTCAGTACAAATGACTAAAGAAGAGGACACAGAGTTTTAAAGGAAAGAAAGGTGTTGGTGGTGGTGTTGTTACTGTGTGATGTTGAATGAATTCTGACTCCCTGAAGCTCTCTAGGACAGAACAGCACCACCACATAGGGTCTCCCAGGCGGCCAGCCTGGTGCGGTGACCTCCACCTCTGTGTCTTGTTGATTGGCTAGGAAGAAGGCGTGCACAGCCTACCCTTCCATCAGCAGCTCAGCTCTTAACCACTGTACCACCAAGGCTCCTTAAAGAAAACAAACAAAAGCAGTCCCACTGCTGCAGAATTAATTCTCGTGACCCTGTGGCCAGAGAAGAACTTCCCCAGGGGCTCCCAAGGTGGTCATCCTTACAGACACTGACTGACACATCTCTCTCTCCCCTGGAGCAGCTGGTCGATTTGAACCTCCGACCTTTTGTTTAACAGAGAACCCTTAACCACTGGGTCACCATGGTTCCTTAACAAGACACCAGCTCAATGCTAGGAAACGTGCTTGGATCTCATAAGCCCTGTTCTTACCCTCATCACAGTGGATTGATCATTGGCTCATGCCATTCATAGGTAAGGACGCCAAAACTTACAAAGTCTGGAGTTACATTTCCTCCAGGTACAGAACTGAAACCGACAGAACTGGAATTTGACCCCACATCCTACAGCTCTTTGCTGAAGAATGGGTTTCCAGAGCTTTCGTCCTTGCACGTCTTAGTCCAGAAGTTCTGCTGAAGTCTTTTGATCATAGAAGTGTTTCACAGCCTCCACTGGTGGGTGGAACCAACCAGATCATCTGTATGGAGGTGAGAATTCCACCCCCAGTCACCTCGGCCTCCCCTTGATGCTCGGAACTCGGCATGGTTCTTCAGAAAGACGGTAGTTTCTCCATCCCCTAAAGCCTTGACGAAAAATACCGTTCACATTTGTGGTCCAGTGTTTTTAAAAGGAAATCTATGCTTTTCAAATGCATTCAAAGATGTTCATGACTTTCTGTGCTGCGCGTTGTTCCCGTGCGTCATTGAGTCAATCCCAAATCATTCCCGTTGCCTTCAGGTCACTCCAAGCTGATGGTGATGCTATGTGACGAAGCAGGCCTGCCCTGTAGGTCCCCAGGACTCTCAGTCACCAGCTAAGTGTTTTACCGTTGTACCACCAAGTCTCCTGCCTTGACTAGATCCCTTGTTCATACCTGACACAACTTCTGTTCCAGCAGGCGCTTTGGTGACGTGGTCCTGACGAAGGTGTGCTATTAACTCAAAGCCAGCAGCTCTTCGGTGGTTCTGGTGCCCCAGCTGCTCTGTGGGAGAAAGATGAGCAATTTCTTCACATGGCATTTACCACCTTTGAAACACACACACACACACACACACACACACACGCGCGCACACCCACCACCACCACCACCACCAAGGCTTGGCTAGGAGGCACTCCGGCTTGATGGCTAGGAGTGCCATGAAAGCCAGTGTTTGTAGTGAGTGATTGGGCCACACTGAATGACCATTTTTATCTCAAGATCTTGACCTACTTGGCCAGTCCCCGGACATGCCCACCACATGCTCTGCATCCAGGTGGTTCTGCTGCAAAATACACTTGCTTCCTTACCTCAGAGAAGGGAAGGATCCCTGGCAGTTAGTGACAATGAGAGGTCTGCTTACCAGGAAATGCGCCCGATCAACTGAGACCCTTGTAAACGAGGGACCTTCAGGGGGATCCGGGCTGAAAACATCCCAGATCTAGTTCCAAGAGCTGATCCTCCTCAGCATTCTTTTAAGTCACTGACCACTAAAGGGTTTAGTACACCAGAGAGACCCCCGGAATGGGGGGTGGCGTGTGCACAGTCTCAGCACTCCCCCGGAACACTTCACATTATCAGACTTACTTACCCATTTGCCTTCTTGAGATAAGAGAAAGAACACAGAGCCTCGATTAATCAGGGATCATTAGATTTGGTAGGATGTTTCCTGTTGTTCTTTACGCTGTAAAAAGTGTACCTGACTTTCTGTATGCTATACCCACTTCTGTAATAAAAGAGAGGACGAGACAGTCCACCTTGCTGTTTGCCTGATGGAGCTCTGAGTCCTTCGTCTTCCATATCTCTCGGGAGTCCCTGCCTTCGGCCACCTGTGATCACAGAATACCTGAAACTTCAGAGAAGCTAATTAACTAGCATGAAAACATGCACAAATACAAGTCTGGATTGCGTTTGGAGTGAAGACGTAGAATGAGAAGTCACTGTAAAAAATATGAGTCCGGAGAGAGAGATATCTCGAGGAGAAGGCGCGCCTGCGGGAGACCAGATTACGGGAGACGGGGTGCAGGTCAGTCCCCGGGAGTTTGTCCCACACCCGGCGGAGGACCTACAGCGTGTCAGCACAGCTGTGCCGCTGGCCCTCGTGGGCTGGTGTTCTGGAAATTGCCTCTCCTTCTCAGTGCTAGGCAGACTCAAGCTACTCAAACCTCTCACTTGTACTAGGAACTCCATTGAAATCAGGTGCTTTAGTGACACAGAGGTTACACACTCAGTTGCCAGGTGAGTTTGAACCCTCTGTGGTTGCTGGTTCTCCTCTGCCCTACAGGTCACTGTGGGTTGGAAATGACTGGACAGCATAGGACATCTGCCAGGGGCATCGCAGATACTGTGCAGGCACAGACAGTGTCCACGAGGGACACGACAGCAGCTCCGGAGGCCCTGTGGCACTTTGTCACTGTTGTGGACCGTTGGAACCAGCTCCTAGCTGACCTCTGGCAGGTTTTCAGAGACTGTCAATCACAGTGGAGGAGATTTCCCATCTTCCTCCTGCAGATTCAAACCACCTATCTTTGGATTGGTGTCCCAACTCCTTTACCTCTAGGCCACCAGAGATGCGTGAGGATGAGAGGGCAGGAAGCGCTCTTGAAAGAGTGCGGTGATTAAGGGGGTAGAAGCCTGGCCCGTTAGGCATTGTCTGTCCCAGAAGGGACTTGGAGTGTGGGGGGAGTTAAAGGAAACTCTCCAAACTTGAGGATTGACCGGATACTGTTTATGTCTCTAAAAGCTCATGTGGCAAATAGCTGAAGAGTGGATTTGGGAGACAAGAGTTCACCGTCAGGGGGAGGGGCAGGAGAAGTGGGCGTGTGTTATCTATTAGACGCTGAGCCAGCTCTTACCTTGAAATCCTAGGGGCTCTGAGGAGCCCTGTGTGTTACTCACCTTGGGACCTTCTCATTCTCCTCTGCTGCTGTCCTGTTAAAAGCAAGATTTCCTGAAGTCCTTCCTGTCCTCGCTTCCCTGTCAGCTGAAGTGTCCCCTCCCTGCCCCCATTCCCACCCCGTGTGCAAGCCCAGAAATGCATGATCCATCTTTGCTATTCTGCAAGGCACACCAGGTTGTGGAATATTTTAATTTTTTAAGTTCAGTTCTTGCATCTCATTAAAAACGATATTGGCTGACATATTTCAGAACATACATATGCTTAGTAACGCTTCATTTAATTTGAGCCTCTTAGCAAGAAAAACTACTTTCCATGAAAATGCCAAAAGTGGCCAACCAAGGCATGTTTCTCCGTGTCCCTCGTTAGCTGGTTTGCAATTATCTATCTATGCTAATCGTCCATGTGCATAACATGGCTGGAGCCACCAAAGAGGCGGAACTAAGGAACACCTGTGTTCCAGGTTGAGCTGCTCATCTCAAGTTTGCAGGTTTGAGTCAGCCAACCACCCCAAGGGAGAGTGATGGACAACTCCTCCCATTAAGATTTACAGCTTTGGGATTCACTGGAGGGTCTCCATGAGGGAGACCCAACTCGACAGTGGCCTTTTATTGGTTAATGTTTCTAACAGCTGCTGCATCTGACAAGCGCTTTTTAACAAGAGTTATTTCAAACACTTAGCAAGTGACATATCTTAATTATACTTGTATTGATGTTGACAAACACTGTTAATAAAGATTGAAACAAACAAAACTTTACTGCTATCAAGTCCCTGACTCCTAATGGCCCTCTCCCAGGATTCCAGGCCTATGAATCCTTGTGGGAGGCTGGTGTCCATCTTTATCTGTTGAGTCACTGGTGGGTTCAATCTGCAGATCTTTCCATTGGCAGCCTGATACCTCCCGTCCCACGCTAACAGGGCATCTTTAAATAAAGATGAAACTGTTAAATGATCCAAACGTCCATGACATGCGGTCTGAAAGAAGACAAATAATTCCCAGTAAGTCATGTGAAATAGACTTACCACTGTTGGTATATTTGTTTTGATTTCAGAATTCTCATTTCTGAAGATGGAAGCCTCAGAATCCTCAACGTAACCAAGGCAGATGCCGGGAGTTACACCTGCATAGCCAGCAACCATTTCGGAACTGCCAGTAGTACTGGGAACTTGGTGGTGAAAGGTAGGAAGAGCTAACTGGAAGAATTCGCCTAACCGTATACGTGCCAATATTCCTACCAGTGCTTCCCAGACAAGTGGCACCGTTCATATCAATCTGTGCAGATATCACTGGGTTGCTAAATTAATTCATCACGGCAAACATGATATGATTAATAATTCTTGGCCAACTGTGGGTAATGAATATGATTGAAAGGCTATCTTATTTCCGAATCATCTAATACAATTTTGAGAATTACAGCCATTCTACCTATTGTAGTATTGTAACTAATGTTATCTTCGCTCCTTTAATTAAATTTCCTTCAAGTCTCTAGAGATTTTAAATTCATGTCTAGCAACAATGTGCTAACAAATTAAAAACCCCAGACTCAAATACTATTTTTAGCAAACATTGTTTAAATAGTGACATTGCTGATTTTTCAGAACTGCTCCACTTACTCAGAGATATGCCTCTCTGGATTATTACCCTAACAAAGGGTCACCTCTGTCACTTGGTTTAGCCATCCAGCCAACCTTGTACGTTTTGAGGAAATCAAATTTTCACATCCCTTAGCCTGGGTGCTTTATGGCTTATGACAGAATGTCCTTTATATCCTCAGCATAGCACATAATAGGAGAATGTTCCAGTGTCAGGTGATGAGATTGGCTGAAGTGTTTCGTAAGAGTGGTTAAGGAAAAGCTCTTCATTTGCATGGCTCTTGCTTTGTGCCTTGCTGGGCCTTAGGTGTTTTGAGTCAAAGTCACCTTGGAGACAGCTTCATTGAGGAAGCCAAGCCTCAGGTGACCTTTCTCAAAGTCTCTTTTCTCAAGGTCTGCAGGAGCAAAAGCAGGACTTGAACACAGGAATCTCAGTTCTTTGTTCTACTTGTACTACCATGGTGGTGTCCTGATAAAGCGGGAAGGGTAGCAGTTCCAGCCCACCAGTTGCTCCAGGGAGAGCCGGGGCCTGGGAAGCCCTGGGCCGTGCTCCCTGTGGGATGAGGTCTCTGTCACAGCCAGTCCAGCGGCAGTGGGTTTGGAGATGTGCTTCTAGTTGGTTCTTTCCTCCTTGTGAGGAATTTTTCTTTTCAGTCATCTTCTCTATGTCTGGATAATAGATACAGATGAGTCATAATGTGATCTTCCCTTTTCCATTTGCAGCATCTGCAGTGAAAATAAGGTGACCTAAAGCAGGTAGAAACATCCACAGAAAATGTGTGTCTGTGTCGTGTGATTCAGTTGGAAGAAAGATAAAATTCACCTAATTACCTAGCGCAGGCTCATTGTCAGCTTGCAGAGCGGATGTGGTCTGGGAAGCTTTCTGTCGTGAACACCTCAGGCAGGCAAAGGTCAGCGGTGGGTGTGTGTCTGGCCTGCCTCCGGCCCCTGCACAGAACTTTGAGTCTCCGGAGTGTCTCACTGGAGAGTGGGTTCGACAGGCTCTTTGCTCACTCTCCCCACGGGCAAATGAGAAAGAGGACAGATAAAGTTTGTACACAAAAGGCCAGGTAGAGCCCTTTGTTAAGGTACTAGGTGTTTCCACTATAAAGGACCTTAATGGTCAGCCTGGACCAAGAGGAACCCCAGGGCTTCAGAGCTGGTCAGCAACAGAGCTGGACCAATCCTCCTTCACTGATTATTTGTTAGCCATGCGGAGAATTCTAGGGAGGAATCTAGGAAGTGATTAAGGGACCAGGGTCCAGAGTAAGAGAGAGTTTAGTGTAAATCACATTTCTCCCACTGGCTAGCTCTGTGACCCTGAATACGATAATTAAACTCTATGGGAATAATTGAAATGCCAACCTTACAGAGCTGTATTAATCACCAAATGAGTTAACACATGATAAGAGCTTATTAGCATCATGCCTGGTACCTTGAAACTATTAGCAGGTGTTGTGTTGTTGTTTTTATTGTAGCTCGATTGTTGTTATTAGTTTTTGTGAAGCCGTTTCTGGCTCCTGTTGGCCCCACATGCAGAGTAGAATGACTCCATTTTCAAGGTTTTCCAATGTTGATCTCCAGGTCTCACCTGTGTGACACTCGTGGGTTAATGCTTCATCCTTTAGGCCAGAAAGCAACTGCTTAGCCATCCCTGCTACCTAGCTATTCCTGTACAGACCAGCATCACTTAGCATCCATGATCTATTTTGTGAAATAGGCCACACTGTGATTGGACATGTGTCAACAGCACATTATACACTATACAAAGACAGACATCATCTTCATGGTTCCATTGCTAAGTCTGTGTTTAAGTTGAATTTGTATATAAGTCAACACTGTTAAGTACACATTAGATACGTCTAATGCCCGTTAATCAACTGTTGGTATCTGATAAATCTTAGTATCTGGGAGTGTACCTTTCTGGGTATTAAAAAAAAAAGAAACACGAAGATACACTGAAACATCTTGGGCAAAATAATGCACTAATGATGATGCCTTGAAAGTTGTAAAGTAGTGTCTGTATGTGAAGATGAGTCTCTGTATGTGTGCACAGTTTTTAATATAATAGGCCTTATGGGGTTTGGAGTCATGGACTAACTTGGGGTGAAATGTTGCCCAAAGGTATCCTAGATCTCAGTGAAGTGAACATTTCCAAAGTTTTCACCCCAAGCCGTGGGAATGGTTAACAAAGAGAACAGAGCCTGCAGTACAGAAGATCCCAGAAGATTGTAAACACCTCAGTGTGCAAAGCTTAGCCCAGGGCCTTCTGTCTTCAGATAGTTGACTTTAGACCCCTTTGCTTTTATGAAAGATGTTGGCTTTTTTTTTTTTTAATGCTAACACAAAGTCAAAGAGGATTTGCACTTTGACAGAAAAGGTAAAGTGACGCAACTAAGTAAGCTCTGTTTGCAGTGCACAGGGAAAGAGGCAGTGTACACCCCACTACGTAAGTGATAGTACAGAGCGCTTCCCCAGGAGCTGTGCCCAGGGCTCAGCGTCAGTGCCCCATAGCTGTGAACACTGCTGGTGAGCACTCTATATTTATCCCATCCTAGATTTTATGTTATTTGGCATTGGCTTACTGGGTTCATTTGGTAAACTAGGATCACTCAAAATCTTTTCCCATTAAATTATGATGGAAGCTCTGGTGGTGAATAGTGTGTTGGGGTAAACTTCACTGGTTTGAATCTATCAGTCACACCACAGGATTAAGATGGGCAGCCTCTGCGCATAAAGATTTACAGCCTCAGATAACCCCACGGAGGATGAAGGCTGTGAGTAGAAATTGACTTGACAGTGGTCGGCTTGGGTTTTAAATTAATGATAAATGCTTCTCACCTTGGCACTCATTTCGACTTGTAAAACTTTTCCTAAGAACGCTCTGCTTTCAGACAGCTAGGAAACCTGCATGAGCTATTCTGTGCCCTTCTAAGTTTTTTCACATGTGCACACAAACCATGTTTTATCTTTCCTAATCGTTCTTTCTCTAAGTCTTAGATGAGAGCTTGGTTTATGAAATAGTTGGTGGAAAATCTTCTCTTTCTCATTAGTGTTCATATCCCACTTGTCCCACCAGCCCCAGGACGAAAGCATTCGCAGCCAGCGATGCTGGTCTCAGCCCCTCACCTTGTAGGAAAAATCACAGTACGTTACACGGATGTTGTTTTTGTTAGGTACCATTGAGCCAGCTGTGACTGTCAGCACCCTCGTGGACAGGAGATCCATCCTGCACTATCCTCACTGTGTGAGCTGCTCAAGCCCACTGCTAGGGTGTCTGTGTCACTCTGTCTCTTTGAGGGGCTTCCTCTTTCCCCGATCGTCCACCTTTTGCAGTACGGTGTCTTTTTCTGAGGATTAGCAGTATCTTCTGAAGGTTAGCAGTACATGCGACAGAATCTCACCATTCTTGCCTCTAAGGAGTGTGTGGTTACATTTTTTCCAAGACCTATTTGTTTGTTCTTCCAGCAGTCGATGGCACACCCAGTACTGTTTACCAACACCACGATTCCTAGGTGTTGCGTCTTCTGTTACCCTTCTTCATTGTTCAACTTTCAGATCCATGACTTAGTTCAGAGCAGCGATGAGAGATGCACGTCATCTCTTGGCTGTGCTTTCTTCTTTGCTTTCTGGGAACAGTGGGTCCCATGCATCGTGTATCGTGGATGGGTGCTGCCGAGTCAGCTCCAGTTCATGGCCAGTCCACGTGGCAGAGCTGAGCAGACCCATAGCTTTCTAACAGAGGGCTGCGAACACCCAAATGCATAAACCATGTGCAAGCAGCCCCTACTTTGCACTCATTCCCTTCACACCACTCTGCTTTGACTCAAGGCTGCGCCCGTACCTGTTTGCCCACCAAATGGGATGTGAAGTGAATTTTGCTCTTATGATAAATGGTGAAAAGCAGAGTTAGCGCTCAGCATTTGTTATTTATTCAAGTTTTAATTTCGCAAATACAAAGTGGCCATCGGGAGTGGTCCTGAGGAACCTGGCCAGGAGCTCTGAGGAGGAAAAGTGTGGCGGTCTGCTCGTATTCAGATTGCAACCAGGAAAACGACCAGGTAACACTGGGGCCCTGGGGCCGCCAGGAGTCAGAATGCACCTGAGGGCAGCTAACAACACAGCTGCTGCTGCTCCTGTGTGAGGCCACTAGCTCAACCGGCAGCACCGGCAAAGAAAAGCTCCGGTTCCTAAAGAAGGTCACATAAGTAGCCGCAGTGAGGAAAGTCGGGGTGGGGAGAGAAGATGCATTTGAGCTGAGATGTTGGAGAGGAGTGCTGCCTGTCTCGGACTGCCAGAAAACAAACATGTCCTGAGAAAATGCATCCAGAGTGTCCCTGAAAGACGAAGATGGTAAAGCTTCGTCTCACAGACGCGGAGCATGTTGTTTAGGAGAGGCTCACTGAGGAGGACATCACGCTTGGAAAGGTGGAGGGTCACCAAGAGAGGACCCAGTGACGGCAGCAGTGGGCTCGAGGGCATCAGAGGTTGCAGAGATGGCACAGGACAGGACAGACAGCTGTTGTTCATCGGATCGCTGTGAGTTGCGCTCAACTTGACAGCAACAAACAGCAGCCACAAGCACGA